CGCATGGACCAGGCCCGCCCGCCCATTGTCCTGACGCTTGTGTTCTCCGAGCCTGTGGATGTGGGCGCGCTCAACCACACTGCCCTTGTGTTCCAGTCCAACGCGACAGCAGCCACGTCTGCGGAGTCTTACCGCCTGCAGCACGCTCCAGCCGCTGTTGTGCCCAGCAGCAGCCAGCGCCAGGTGGCGATTGAGCTTGCCACGGGCGATTTCCTTGCGCTGCGGGATGCTGCTGGCCTTGCTGTGCTGATGCGCAGCGCGGCCACCACGTACCTGCGCTTTGATCCTGTGCTTGTGACAGACACCATTGGCTCGAGCGTGGTTGGCGTCTCCGTCAACAGCAGTGCTGTGGCTCCGAGCGAGTACACGGTTGACCTTGTGCCGCCGCAGCTCAGCGCGTTTGACGTTGACATGGATGCTGGATTTGTTGTGCTGCGCTTCAGCGAGGACGTGAACGCGAGCAGCATCGCTGTGGGTGCGTTTTCCCTTGTTGCCGCGCGTGGCGCGAACGTGACTGCGGAGGGTGTGACTTTTGATGCCGCCCTTGATGCTGCGAGCAGCACAGGCAACGCCACCCAGGTGCGTATTGACCTGAGCGTGTCGACGCTCAACCGCGTCAAGGCTGACGCTGGCCTTGCTGTGAGCCGCAGCACGTCGTTCCTGGCTGTTGCGGCAGGTGGCATTGCTGACTTTGCTGGCAACAGCATGCGGCAGGTTGCCTCTGCTTCTGCCGTGGCTGCGGTCAGCTATGTCGCCGACGCAACTGGCCCTGTGCTGCAGAGCTTTGCCCTCAACATGACCTCTGGTGTGCTGCGCCTCACCTTTGACGAGGTTGTGGCCAGGGCAACGTTTGATGCGACGCAGGCCCGCCTGGTCAACGCCGCCACGGGCGCGACTGTGGCTGTTGCGCTGGATGCGGTGGCTGTGGACGCCCCAGCCGCCAACAGCACGACCCTTGGCTTCACCCTGACCCAGGCTGCCGCAAACGACGTACGCACTCAAGCTGGCCTCGGAACGACGGTGGACAACACGTACCTGCAGTTGCTGGCAGGTGCCATCCGCGATGCGGCCGGCAACGCAAACTTGCCCGTCACAGCCAACGCAACAGAGGTTGTGCAGGATTCGACCCCCGCACGCCTGCTCGCGCTGTCGCTGAACATGGACAGCGGCGTGCTGAGCCTGTCGTACAGCGAGCCCGTGCAAGCCCTCACGCTGGTGCCTGCTGCCATCACGCTTGCCCGCGCTGCCAACAGCACAAGCACGTACACGCTGGCACACAGCACGGTTGTCACCTCCGGCTACACGCAGGTCGTCGACGTGGCGCTTGGTGCTGAGGACATCACGGCGCTGAAGCTGGCGGGCATTTGCCTGTTCCAGGACGCGTGCGCCGTGTCTGCCAACGGCACCCTTGTGCAGGATGCCACTGGGGCATTTGTGCCTGCTGTTGCGGATGCGGAGATCAACGACGTGTTTGTGGCTGACCAGACAGCCCCGGCGCTTGCCGACCGCGGCTTCTTGTACTTTGACCTGAACAACGGCACAATTGCGCTCAGCTTCACAGAGGTTGTGAACGTGACCTCTGCGCGGCCCACGCGCATCACGCTGCAGTCGTTCTTCGAGAGCCCAGAGGCCAGCTACACGCTGACTGGCGGCCGCGTGCTTGGCGGCTACCACAGCGGGCCCGGCTCGACGGTTGTGCTCATTGCCCTTTCCACCAGCGACCTCAACGCTGTCAAATCTAACCCAGACATTTGTCGTGCGCGTTCAACGTGTTACCTGTCTGCTACGGCTGGTGTTGTGGACGATCTCAATGCAAACTCCGCACACCCAATCAGTGAGACAGAACCATTTGTGGCAGCACAGGCATTTGTTACTGACACGACGGCACCGGGGCTTGTGTCCTTTGGCATTGACATCGAGGCGGGCACAGTGGCACTGACGCTTGATGAGAGCATTGACAGCGTGAGTCTGCACGCAACCGGCATGACGCTGCAGACAGCCATGTGGGCAAAGCGGGGCCGCGTACTCGGCCAAACACACACTCACTGGCGGCAGTGTCACTGTTGTTGCCGTCAACCACGCTGGAGCTTGTCCCTGCTGACAGCTGACGTGCAGCGGGCTTCAAGGCCCTTGACCTGTGGCTGGGACGCCGCTTGCCAACTGCACACTTAATGCCGTTGGCGGCTT